TTAACCAATTGTAGGCTAAATGAATCTGTCAAATTATTAAATATATACTTACCTGTTCTGATGTAGTATGATGGCTAGAACGAGAAAGATACTGGGTGTGTGATGGGAGTTTCTATTTCACAGCTCATATCCTGGTAAATCCTGAATTTGATTCTAGCCCAGAGCATTCCTTTTTTTAAGTTGTTATTCAGTTACAGATGTCTCCATTCCCCCCGCCCCCGCATTGGTCTCCCCTGCCCCATCTAACCCCCATTCCCAAAGACAATCCTCACCCCATTGTTCTTGTCCATGGGTCCTTTGTACATATTCCTTGACTTGACCCTTCCCTTCCTCCCCAGGTTACCCGCCTCTCCCCTCCCCTCTGGTCACTGTCAGTTTGGTCTTTATTTCCATGTCTTTGGTTCTTTTTACTCGTTTGTTTTGTTGATTATGTTACACTTATAGGTGAGATCATATGGTATTTGTCTTTCATCACCTGGCTTATTTCACTTAGTATAATGCTCTCCAGTTTCATCCATGCTGTTGCGAAGGGTAGGAGCTCCATCTTTCTTTCTACTGTGTGAGCATCCCATTGCATAAATGTACCACTGTTTTTTGATTCACTCATTTGGGCACTTAGGCTGTTTTCAGCACTTGACTATTGTAAATAATGTTATGAACATAGGAATGTATAGGTTCTTTTGATTTGGTCATTCAGGATTCTTAGGCTATAATCCCAGCAGTGGAATCACTGGATCAAGAGGCAGTTCCATTTTTACCTTTTTGAGAAAATTCCATACTGTTTTCCACAGTGGCTGCACCAGTCTGCATTCCCACCGACAGTGTGCTAGGGTTCCCTTTCCTCCAGAACCTCGCCAGCACTTGTTTGTTGATTTATGATGGCCATTCTGACCTGTGCGAAGTGGTATCTCATTGTGGTCTTAATTTGCATCTCTTTGATGGCTAATGATGTGGAGCATTTTTTCATGTGTCTGTGAGCCCTCTGTATGTCCCCCTTGGAGAAGTGTCTGTTCAGGTCCTCTGCCCATTTTTTAATTGGATTGTTTGTCTTCCTGGTGTGGAGTTGTGTGAGGTCTTCATATATTTTGGAGATCAAACCCTTGTCCGAGGTATCATTGGCAAATATGTTTTCCCATAAGGTTGGTTCCCTTTTTATTTTGCTGATTTTTTTTTTTGAGCTATGAAGAAGAAGCTTTTTAATTTGATGTAGTCCCATTTGTTTATTCTTTTCCTTTATATAACTTGCCCTAGGGGACATACTGGTGACAATATTGCAGAGCATTCTTAAAGCTCCACATTCTTCTTACGTTGACATTGAAATGCCTACAGGACATTTTCAACAGGTCACCCCTTAACATGTTTAAATCTAAGCTTGGCCTCTGTTCCCAAAAACTGATCTTTGAGGGCTTGTGCATCAGTGAATGAAATTGCTATCCATCTGCATCCTCCATAAAATCTGATTTTTTACCAAGGTCTGCTGATTGTTACTCCATAAATCTATTTCTGCTTTCACTTCATCTTCATTCATCACCAACACCATAATCTAAGCTACTGTCATTGCACATCTAACTCCTCCCCTGCACCTCTCTTGCCCCTCTCTCTAATTCAACCAAATTCGGTATTTCTTCAGTATAAAATGTATTGCCATACCTTAGTTAACGCCCTGCTGTAGTTTTGCCTTAATTTGACTTTTTTCTACCCCATTTTGTTTCATATACATTTCCTCTCAAGTGGTGACTGGCCACTCTTCTCTTTTTTTGATTTTTGAATGTACTTTCATATAATGGGCTTTTAGACTGTTGAACTTGCTGTGCCCAGACTGGAACACTTTCCAGACCTTTCTGATCTCATATTAAAGTCTTTCTTTAGGTTTTTGCTGACCTCTGGGCTAAATCAGTCTCCTGTTATAACACTCTATTGGCTTCCCACCTCCCATATTTTTAATAGCATTTACCTCTTTTTGCAATTATGTACTTGCATGGTTACTGGGCACTACTGTCTGTTTTCAAAATAAAGTATAAGTTCTAGGCTGAGACAATTTCAGTGTCTTCAAACTGCCCTTACAACAGAAGAGAAATGTTAAAGTACATAGTTTTGTATACTGAAGTACATAACTAGGCAATGGACTACAAAGTGATTAATTCTAAAGTGAAGTAAGTACAGATAGAGTCACAGTGTTGGCATTTTAAGCGTTGTTATTCGGGAATACTTTAGTTACTGGAGCATTAGCTTGATCAGCCTCTAATTTTACTTTTTCTATTAAAACTAAATATATGTAATATTTTGAGTTTTGAATTCCCCAGTTCAGAGTAGGAGCTTCCAGAAGTTAATTGTACTTGAATGAGCTTTAGAATAAAAACTTTCCCCTTTCCTCACATCTGCACAACATTTGAAGTTTACAATTAAAAAAAAAAAAAGGTGGTTACATACTTTTTGAAGTTTACTATGAGGAATAAGTTAGCTGCATGAGGCATAAAAATTTTAAAACACTACAAAACTTACAAAGACAAGAAATCATAGATGTTGTAATAGGTGTCTCAGCTTGTAACGGTTAAAGAGGAATCAGGAAGATTATTCTAATATTGGAATTATATTTTTATGGGTTTTTTTTTTAGTATTTAGACTTTAATTTACTGCCTGCCGTGTTGGCAGATTCAAATGTTCTTATGAAAACCCTTAAGATTTTAGTATTTTCTTGAAAATTGGTTTAGTTCTTTGTTTACACTTAAAAATTAATGCTTTCAATAAGATTTGGTTTCCATCCATCCTGAATTCTCCCTAGGAGTATACAACTTCAAAAGTAAAGAGGCATAGTCAGCAGAAAAAAGAGGTGGTCTGAACATTTATGTGTTAAATATGCATGTTAATTAAGAAAAAAATTAGAAAAATATGAAAACAGATGTTACATAAATTATTTCAGTCCCAGGACAGTAGTAACTTATACACTGACAATAATTTTTATATGTGCATGTGTATATCTATTTCTAGATTTCTCAGTATTTATGCAATTCCATAAAGTATAACTAGAAAAAGAACTGGTATATCCTTTCAGTGAGACTGTGGTAAGCATTCCTTTTGCATATGGATTGCTGAGGAAGCCTGATTGTTTCATATAGCCTCTCTGTACAAATAATATTTGTGTCTCCTAATCTTGCCCATCGTGTTTTTCTTCCCTTCTTGATTTCTCTGATGGTGTGTCAGTGAGACATATTTTAGTGGACATATCCTGTCAGAACAAGAAAATAAATTACAATCCTGGCAGTGTAAGAAATGTAAAATTGACCTTGGTATAAAGTGTGTATTTCGAAATAAAACAAATTACAACTACTCAGGACACTGATTATAGTGTCAGTTTTTCTTTTGGTTACTTTCACACCTTCTGAAGAAATAGCCATTGTTCTCTGAATACTATTGACATGTTAGTATGACAGTATACATTTTGTTAACATAAATACATAGTCATCAAATATACATGTGTTGGAATATTTGAAAGATATTTGAATGTCTTTCACTTTTAAAGAGAATAAAAATGGTCTGTATTTTTACAAGGGAAAGTTGAGAAGTAGAGATGGTTTATTTTAGTGGTTGAGCAACTTTATTTCAACCATCGAGGAAAAACAAGTGATTATACTGCTGTCCAAGGAGCTGCTGACAATATTTAGGTATTTTCCATATGTATATTATGTAATTTAGAAATGTGTTGTTTATAACTTTTTCAGATAAGATTAAAAGTTAAAATAAGCAAATGCTGCATTTGAATGTCAGAAATCATTCTTTTAAACAAATGAAACATGTATTTAATAAAGAGCATAAAACATTTTTTAGAAATCTGTCTAGAGATTAGTCCTACATTTATTTGTATTCTTCAGGAATCCTACTTTGCTTTTGATTTTAGTAGTATATGATGCTAAAATGTATTTTAAGTAATTAATTTTTTGAATCTTAGTCGATTTCAGTTACTTCTATTATCCTAATACTTTTCAGTTCTGTGTTACTGATTTATGTTTCACATTATATTGCCTAATTACTCTTGACCTTTTGTATTTATGCTGAGCCACTGATGAGCTGTAACAGGTTATTGGGAGGAAAGTAAACTAATATAGAATGAAACCTAGAAGAGAGTGATAATGATATGTTTAGTAATTTATTAACATTAAGTTTTATACTTAAATTGGATAACTAAGAAATTCAGTTGTCCTTGCAGATTTTATGTAAAGATATATCTGTGTCAAATATGATTTGTGAAAGTACATTATTTTTTTCACTTGAAAATTTTATTTTATTTTATTTTTTAAATTTATTTACTTTTTAAATACATTTGTCTCTGCCTCCCCGCCACCACTTTCCCTTGCCCCCTCCCTCCTTCCCTCCCTCAGTTCTTCCCCTTTGGTTTTGTCCATGAGTCCTTGCTATATGTTCCTTGACTTTCCCCTTCCCTTCCCTTGATTTGTGAAAGTATATTATTAAAAGTGGTAAGATATTTAGGCAAAAAGTCTATGGAAATTAATTTTTAATTCACAAACAGTATTGCTGCACTGATATGTTTATTTTAATTTTATATCGTACTAATGCTTTGGAATCCACTTTCAGTGGGATTTTTTTTCACATTTCTGGTCAAATATCAAATTTCCATTTTTAATTTTATCTGATTTTAATACTTGATATTGTTTTATTATGTATTGGAATAGTGTTTGTTATTTCAACACTTTATTTTATTGCCACTAAATGAAGTTGTATGATTTGTTTTATATTGAGGTATTTTGAAATTGTTTTGGTATTATAATGCCTTTTATTTTAGGTATTAATAAATGACTCCCTTTCTTTCTGTAGTTAAAATAGATTATGGAAAGAATGATTAATGGGTAGACTACCATTTGTCCTCTTAGAACATAAAATAATATGACAAATATTTTCAGCCTACCTTTTTTGTTTTTGCTTTGTTTTAGGGTTCCTCCTGGAACAGGAATATTTGAAGCTATTTTATTTATTTATTTTTCTAGGTATTTGCTGTTTTTCCAGCAGCTCAATTGAAGAAGAACTCTCCTCATCTTTATTTCTTGAGTTCTCCTTACTTCTCATTAGCCAACTGACACTTATATTTGGAGAACTCTTTTGTACTTATCGTTGAAGTCATCTTTGACCCATAACAAGAGCATGCATTTTCAAGTGTCAATTAGATTTGTGGATCAGTAAAATTCTTCTAAAAGGTAAGTGTATATTTATTCAAAATACATTTTAGCATTTAATATTATCATTACCAGTCTTAGTCTGTTCAGGCTTTATAACAAAAATACCATAGGCTGGGTGTCTTATAAACAACAGGAATTTTTCTGTTCTGGAGACTGGGAAGTCCAAGATCAAGGCACCAGCAGATTCTTTGTCCGGTGAGGAGTTCTGGTTTATTGACCATGACGGAATGAGAGAGCTCTCTGGAGTCTCTTTTTATAATGGCATTAATCTCATTCATAGGGCTGCACCCTCATGACCTAATCATCTCCCAAAAGCATCATTCCTAATACCATTATATTGGAAATTCAGATTTCAATATATGAGTTTTGGTACATAAACATTCATTTCATAATAATACCCTTATGTAGTAATATGTTCCATAGATTCATGCATGAAAAATTGTATGTGTATGTGTGTGTACATGTGTATTTTTTTTACAATTCTACTGGTTTTAGATTGTAGGCTCCTTCACGGTATAATGTCCTCTAACACTCCAAGTAAACAGATCTGTTTCTCTCCACCTCATATCTATTCAGCAGCTTCCTGGCTCTTCCTTTTCCTCATTTTTCTCTTATCTGAGTTTTCAGGGGGGCTTTAAAAATTTGTTCCAACCACGAAACTTTTAGCATTTCCCTTAGGGAATGCTTTCTGTGTCTCTGCCCTTTTCCCTTTTCTTCATCCCCTCCCTTCCTCTCTCCTTCCCTCCCTCTCAGCATTTGTTAAATTTGTTAAAGGAGTAACAAAAATAGAATGTTTGAACTTAGAGTTCAAGATAATCTCAGGTAGCATTTACAGTTTTTTCCTTTTTTACCACGACTCATAGTACAAAATAAAATTTACATTTCTGAGCCATTTCTGACATGTAGAAATGTACAAATGGAACTGAAACAAAAGATGAAACAGTTTTTACCTGACTACCTGGAATGTGTGCTGTGCTTTATTGTATTCTATTTCTTGTGTTTTATTGAATACATGCTGGTGCTTATGACTATCTAGTACTGGATCACTATTGTAATTTCAAAAACCATGCCTTAGATCACTTCTGTATTTGTTCATGACTGACTTGTTAGAAAGGTAAATGGAGTCAGGCAATTTGTTTTCTGTCTCTGACAAGCTGTTTTTAATTCTTTCTCCTCTGTGCTTCTCATCTTTCTCCATTCAGTACAAGCTATGAAATGATTTGGTGGAAGAACTGGGTAACTGCTGGGAAACACCGGCACTTGGTTCTTTTATATGTTAGGAGCACTGGTACACTAGAACTCAAAATCTGAATGGAGGATAGTCTTTGATCGAATTGTCCCTCATAGTAAAGTGTATATTCTGTATTTTCTTTTTCTTTGTTCCATCTATGTAAATTGTATATGTGTGTTGATATCCTTAAGTCATTCTTGATTTAAAACATTTTAAACTTTTTCAGTCCTCTATAACAGTTTAGAATAACCCAAATACTTTGCCAAAGTGGTTTCTCCTAGTACCCATTCCCGTTTTATTTAGCATTTTTATCCTTTTAATAAATTACAAGCATTTTTTTCTGATTATAAATGTAATATGTTGACTTAGAAAGTTTGGTATGTATAGAAAAGTTTTAAAAAAAAAGATAAAAATTATCCCTAATCCAAGGCAGCAAAAGCATTTCTAAGAGGGAGGTTCATAATGATAAGCTCCTACATTAAGAAAAAAGAGCTCAAATAAACAACCTGATTTTATACCTCAAGGACCTAGAATTAAAAAAGAACAAGCTAAGCACAAAGTTAGTAGAAGAAAGGAAATAAAGAGCACAGAAATAAATGAAACAGAGACTAAAATGACAAGAAAAGACTGTCAATGAAACTAAGGTGTTTATTTTAATAACGATAAAATAGACTAACCTTTAGCTAAGCATACTAAGAAAAAAAGGACTCAAATAAAATGAGGAATGAAAAAAGGAGACATTGCAACTGATACTACAGATATACAAAGGATTATAACAGAATACAGTGAACAATTATGTACTAACAAATTGCACAACCTAGAAGAATGGATAAATTTCTAGAAACACACAACTTACCAAGACTGAATCTTGAAGAAATAGATAACCTGAACAGACCAACTACTATAAGGACATTGAATCAGCAATTAAAAATCTCCCAACAAAAGTATATGACTACATGGTTTTTACTGGTGAGTTCTAGCAAACATTTAAAGTAGAATTAATGCCAGTTCTCATCAAACTCCACCAAAAAATAAAAGAGGAGGGAGCACTCCCAAAACCATTTTCTGAAGCCAGTGTTACCCTGATACCAAAACCAGATAAGGATGCTACAAGAAGAAAAAATTCCAGGCCAGTATCCCTGATGAACACACATGTAAAAATCCTCAACAGACCGAAATGGACTGAATTTACCAATACTTTAGTAAAAGGATCATACCCTATGATCAAGTGGGATTTATTCCAGAGGTAGAAGGATGCTTCAACATCCACAATCAGTGTGATAGACCACATTGGTAAAATGAAGGGTAAAAATCATGTGATCATCTCAATAGATGTTGACAAACAATGAATTCTTCATGATAAAAACACTCAACAAAGTGGGTATAGAGGGAATGTGCTTTAACATAGTAAAGGCCATCTATGACAAGTACACAGCTTACGTCATTCTCAATGGTGAAAAGCCCTTTAAGACCATGAATAAGACAAGAATAGCCAATTCATCACTTTTTTTTTTCCTCAAGGACCTGACCGTCCTTTACTTGGGCTATTTATCAGGGTGTTTTTTGCAATTAACAGCCATGAAGAACAAGGCAATGTTCCTCATGTACAAAGAACCAACCTTGCTATATTTATTTAGTTAGTTTTAAAATTTTTTTTATTTTTCTTCAATCTTGCCACTTTTAATTGACATAGTTCTGAAAGTCCTAGCCAGAGAAATCAGGCAAAAAAAAAAAAAAAAAAGAAATAAAAGGCACCAAATCAGAAAAGAAGTAACACTTTCTTTTTGTAGAGTTATGATATTTTATATAGAAAACCCTAAAGACTGGACAAAAACACTGTTGGAACTAATAATTGAATTCAGTAAATTTGCAGGATACAAAATCAATTTACAAAAATCAGTTGTACTCCTATATACTAATGATAAACTATCAGAAAGAGAAATTAAGAAAATAATCCTATTTACAATTGCATCAAAAAGAATAAAATACATCAGAATACATTTACCCAAGGAAGTGAAAAATCTCTGCACCGAAAATTATAAGACCTGATCAGAGGACTTGAAGAACACATATAAATGGATATTCTGTGCTTAAGGGTGGAAGAATTTGTATTGTTAAAATGTCCTTACAAAATGTCTACCCAAAGCAATCTATAGATTCAGTGAAATCTCTGTCAAAAGTCCAATGGCATTTTTCACAGAAATAGAAAAAATAATCCTAAAGTTTGTATGGAACCACAAAACACCTCAAAATAGCCAAAGTAATCTTGAGACCAGAGAATGAAACAGGAGGCTTCTTACTTCCTGATTTCAAACTACGGGGCCTGGCACAAATAATGCCCTTTTTTAAATTACAAAAACTTTTATTACTAAATCATAAGCATGTAATTCTGTAACATAACACTATCACACTCAAATACACCATATGACATTTAAGGTGAAATGTTCAAATTAAAAGTCTTAATTATTAGATCCATATTATTACCCTCCCAACCACACTCAAGCAGGCATTACTTCTGCCATACCCTGTATTTTACAAAGCCATAGTAATTTAAACGGTATGATATTGGCATGAAAGCACAGAGATTAATGGTACAGAATAGAGAGCTCAGAAATAAACCCACAAATATATGGGCAATGAATTTATGACAAAGGAACCAAGCATATACAATGGGACATGGTAGTCTTTTCATAAAACAGTGTTGGGGAAATTGGACATCTACATGGGAGCGAATGAAAACGGACCTCCGTCTTATACCACATGTGAAAATCAACTCCAAAATGCATTGAAGCTTGAATTAAGACCTAAATAATAAAACTCCTGGAGGCAAAGAGAGAGTAAGCTACTTGACATTTGTCCTGGCAATGATATTTTGAATTTGACATCAAAAGCATAGCAAGAGAAGCAAATACAAGCAAGTGGGACTACATCAAACAAAAAGCTTCCACACAGCAAAGAAATCATCAACAGAATGAAAGGGAGTGTACCAAACAGGAGAAGATATTGTAAATGATATACCTGATAAGGGGTTATATTCATAATATAAAGAAAACTTATACAACTCAATAGCAAAAAATCCAAATAGTTTGATTAAAAAATAGGCAGATTAACTGAAGATATTTTCCCAAAGAAGACATACAAATGGTCAACAGATACATGAATAGGTGTTCAACCTCACTAATCATCAGGGAAATTAAAAATCCAAGATGACACTGAGGTATCTCCTCACTGTCATAATGTCTGTCATCAAAAATACAAGAGATTGTAAGTGTTGGTGAGCATATGGAAAAAAGGGAACATTTGTGCACTGTTGGTGGGAATGCAAACTGGCGCAGCTACTATGGAAAAGAGTATGGAGTTTGTTTAGAAATTAAAAGTACAACTACCCTATGATTAAGCAATTTGATTTCTGAGTATATAGTCTAAGAAAATGAAAACAAGGTATCAAAGAAATATTTGCACTCACGTGTTTATTGCAGTATTATTCACAATAGCCAAGATATGGAAACAACCTAAGCATCCATCAATGAGTGAATGGACAATGGAATATTATTCAGGCATGAGAAAGAAGGAAATCCTGCCACTTGCAATACCATGGATGGACTTTGATGGTATTAAGTTAAATAAAGCAAATATGGAAAGACAAATACCGCATACTATCACTGACATGTGGAATCTGTTATAAAAGAGGAATAAAATAGTCAAGCTCATAGAAACAGAGAGTTGAAAAGTAGGTTCTGGGAGCTGAAGGAATTTGTGAAATAGGACAAGGTAGGTAAATATTTAC